TCGACTGACTCTTGCTGCGTGGCTGGTGTGGACTGGAGGAGCACCGCGTTGCCGCTCTGGAACTGCTGCCACAACTCACGTAGCGCCGAGATGCGAGAACGAACTTTTGCTGCTGTCAGATTGGCTCTTCCCAGTTTTTTAAAGTTCTCGAGGAACCGATCTAGGGAACGCTGCAGCTGCTGCTGCCGAGTCCAAATTTCAGCCATTGTGATAAGCTCTTTTGGCTAATAGACTTTATCTGTGTCACCCTCACCGAATCCGGCTCGAAGGACCACTTTCTTTGTCGCGGATCCGACGGATGAAGCTCCCGTCGGAGAGCGACCGAGCGCGCTGATCTCGCCTAGCGCTAGGCGCGGTGAGGTTGAAAGGAATAGCCGTATGACACAATGTATTAAATCACAAACAACACTTTATTTAGCGTTCGAAACACAAATAATGTTTAGCGAGAGCGAGGATCGACGGTAACAGTGGTGCGACGGAGATCTTCTTGGTGCCGCCTGCCGGGTCAGCTGATCGCGACGGAGATCTTCTTGAGCGCGTCGGAGGCGCTCCGCGGTCGGAGATCTTGAGCTCGCGCGACGGAAATCTTCCGCGTCCCGGACACCCGCGTTCGCGTCCGTCGGTCCTGCACTTGAGCTTGCACCATTCACAAAACAGAGATTAAAACGCTTAGAGATGTTCGATTGAACGTCGGTGGTCAGCGGCCGTAGACGCGGAGGCGACACTGACCAGGAGAAAGAGCACTTGAGCGCGGTTGCGTTGACGAGCCGACGGATGCGAGGAGTGCAGCCAGACCGGCGATGAGAGAGCGAGGCGAGAGCCGGCTCGAGAGATTGAGAATGATCTCTGGCGCTCGATAAGCCTCGTTCGAGATACGAAAACCGCGAAGCTGCACGCGAACCGATACAACTGATTTGATACTTGAGAGATCGGATGGTCAGCTTCCTGTTCGAGAGACACGACGAACGGTCGCGAGGAGCGGAGTACCGATTGCTCCAGCGCTCCGAGAGAACAGCTGATCGAGCTGGTCGAGCGCACGCGACGTTCACAACGTTATGAGCGGGAATGCCTTCGCTGCCGGCAAAGTGAGCTTTTAACGAAGAAGCTCTTGACGACAAAGCGATCGCTTATTGGTTGCGGGGGTCCAGCGGCTCGCTCGCTGCGAGAAAAATACCTAATATGGACCGCTTGGCAACATCGGCGATCTAGCGTGAGAGTAGACTCGCGCCTCTATTTTATTTGTTTGGCCGAATGGTTGTCGTAGCAACCGCGACAAGCGAGCGAATTGTAGCGTGAAAAAACGCGGCTTCACGCGGGGGATCGCTCGGTTGTCGCTAAGCGATTTGCTCGGCCGAATGTTCTGGAACATTCGGTCGACTTTACGAGAATGCTTATTGCGATCTCGAACAATAATGTACAATAATTAAAGATGGAAAATATATACAAATGGTGAAAATCTCTTGCAGCCTGCCTCTCTGACACCGCCGCGTAGCAACAGCCTGGAGATGGCCAGAGGAGAAGAGATGCATGAGGTAACAGAAATTGCCAGCGGTGAGTGTCAGCGTCTCACCGCTGACTCTCAGGTATGAGGCTTCTGACTAGACAACTTTAATTTTCTACACTAGTATGTTGCCTCATATAGCTGAGATTACACTATATTTAATAACTTTCTGCCATCTCAATGCACCCCATGGCAGTGCAGGCGCAGTATGACACAGCACATAGAGCGCAGTGTCGCAGAAGAGCTGTCACCGTTGGTCAGCTGTCACAGGGACAGCCACCAGGGATTCACAACAGCTCCCCGCTGTCCCGTGCTGTCGGATGTTAACAATTTTGCAATAAACAATATAAACTGTTGTGTAGCAGGCGGCATACGAATCCCTTTGTACTTATACTATCAACATTAAGTTATTAACCTTTTTAGGCAGTGACACACAACTTATGTATGTGTCACCGCCACAGCAATATCCACCGTCTGCACTTTTTATTATTTAATTAATTTTTGATTTATATCTCTTACACAGGCTTTTGTATATAACGCCACGTGTACCATATAATATAAAATTGCCGTTAAATTAAGGCAAACACAACAGAGGTCATGCCGCCCGACCAGCACAACAAGCGAAATGACAAGCACGGGACTTAGAATTCTGTCTGCACTGACGCAGTCTCCCCCAGCATGCACAGGACCACTGTCCACCTGTCAATTACGTCTGCTAATTACTTACTAATTACCGCTAATTAAGCACTAAACTAATTATCTCTCTCACACACAGTACAGCAAAACTTATACGAATTTCGCCGTACTCTGTGCTAAGTCATTATTGTTTTCATTCTGTCAACAGGGGAAGCAACGCGCGCGAGCCCTGGACAACGGAAAAACCGACGATGCCTCCGGCGACGACGAGGACTTAGAAAAATTTTTCGCGACGAAATCCCGGAGGGTCCAGACTCTCGAAACTGGTTTTATCCGCCATCCAGCATCTAAAACATAGAGCGTCACCGCTGGTCAGCTGTAACAGGGACAGCCACCAGGGATTTCACAACAGTTCCCCGCTGTCCCGTGCTGTCGGATGTTAAAAATTCTTGAATAAACAATATAAATCAGTGTGTGGCAGGCGGCATGTAAGTCTTTTATACTTAAATTATATACAGGGTGAATATTATATACCGGAACACCTGAATATCTCGAAAACAAAGCGTTGTATAAAAAAATGTTAAATACAAAAGTTGTAGGGTTTAAAAAGATCTATTTTATGATATTAGCAGTTTGACCTTGAG